GAAGTGGTAAAACGGTGCCAAATACCATGAGGCTATTCATTTATTTACTGACTCTTATTGGGTGTGTTCTGTTTTAGAGACAGGTTCTCATATATGGCATGCAAACCTCGAACTTGATTTGTAGCTTAAAAGATGACCGTGAACTAAGAAAGAAATATTATTTTAATGTGTATGGTTGTTTTGTCGGCCTACTCATCTGTGTACTATGTGTCTGGGGCTCATGAGGCCAGAAAAAGGTGTCTAACCCCCTAGAATTAGGGTTAGTCAATAGTTGTGATCTGCCAGGTGGGTGTTTGGAGTTGAACCAGCATCCTCTGCATGTACTACCAGTGCTCATGAACACTGAGCCATGTATCAATCTACCCTTGACATTTTTTATTTAAAAAAGACCTTTTTACATCTGTGTGTGTGTCTGTCTGTCTGTCTGTCTCTCTGTCAGTGTCCATTTGTGCTTGCAGGATTCAGTTCTCTCCTTGGATTATGCGGGCCAAGGCTTGAACTCAGTCTTGGTGGCAATCAGCTTTATCTCCTGAGCTATCTCACATCCTGGACCTATCCCCTTGCTTCTACTATCCAAATGATGGGATTGTAGGCGTGTGCCACTGTATTCAGTTGACATGGCGCTGGAGATCAAACGTAGGAGGGCATCTTGTATTCTAGACAACTGAGCTACATCTTCAGCCTTCTGTTTTGAGACAGGGTCTTCCTTGGCTGACCTCAAACCTGTGGCAATCCTCCTCCCTCAGTCTCCTGAGGGCTGGGATTACAGGGCTAAATCACCATGTCTGACTTGTTGATGTAGATTTTGTTGTTGACGTTAGTTTTGATTTTGTTTTGTTCTTTTGCCTTTGTGAGACAATCTTGCTGTTTAGCTCAAGCTAGGCTTTGAACTCCTGATCCTGGCTCAGCCTCCTCTGTGCTAGGATTTTAGCTGTGTCACCACACCTGGCTATCTTGAAGTTTTGTTGCTATTTGTTTTTTGTCTGTTTTTGGTCTTTTTTTTTTTTTTTTTTTTTTTTTTTTTTTGAGGGGTTGTGTGTTTTGTGATTTCTTTTACCTTTGTAAGAAAAGGGCTTGATATGTAGCCCTGGCTAGCCTTGAACTCCTGATCCTATTGCCTCAGCCTCAGCCTCCCAAGCACTAGGCTCATAAGTCATGCCTGGCTAGACTAGGGGTTCAGTGGGTAGATGTGACATAACTTTAAGCAGTGGGGAGGTCTCAGGAAGCTGCTACTGTGTCTTGGTGAGAAGCTATGAGAAGGTGCCAGATCTAGACAGAGACACAACATTGCTGTGAGTCTTGTGGGGCAATGTCACAGTCAGATGAAGAACATGGGACCATGTAGGGCTGGCCAGAGGGTTTCAAAGTTGGGAGGACAGCAGACATTAAGAGCTTCACGGAACTGTCCCCCTGAGGAAAGAGTAAGAGGCTTGCTTACGGTCACCTGGTAAATCGTGGCCAGGGCGGGCTCAGCCTGCCCACTCCTGCCCTGCCTTGCCTGGCACTGTCCACTTCCTAGGGTCACAGCTAACCACCCTCTGCATGGTCCCCACCCTTGTCTGAGACTGCATGGGCAATTCTACCCCCAGGATGGCTGCTGTTTGGAAAAGGTGGGCGCTGCTCCTGGCATGTCTTGGTATTCAGGATGCTTTGGCCAGGTACCTGGCCTGGTGGCACAGATGACAAGCTTCCTGCCCTCCTCACAGCTCTCTCTTTCTCTGATTTCAGGGGACTTTCCTGAATCCTTCCCTGAGCTCCATTCTGGCTCTGAGGAAGGAGGCCTGGACTTCGGGTACCCCTGGTCCTGCAGGGGGAGATGATTGACAGGATCGAGTACAATGTGGAACACGCCGTGGACTACGTGGAAAGGGCTGTCTCTGACACCAAGAAGGCCGTCAAGTACCAGAGCAAGGCGCGCAGGGTCAGTGGCCAGCTCTGTCCAATCCCATGCCCTGGAAAGCCCCCAGACTGTGAGACACGACTCCCCATCTGTCTCTGTCCTGTTTTCAGAAACTCCAGTCATAGCCTCCACCTCTCCATCACTACCCCTAGTCCTGACCCTCCAGATCTCAACTCTCATTTTATTGATTTCTGATTGTTTTTCCACATGTGGGATGGAACCCAGGATCTAGTACATGGCAGACAAAAGCTCTATTACTGAGCTATACCCACGGCCCCTCACTGGGGGATTCTAGTCTATCTTTTACTGTACCCCCACGGCTGTCCTGAGGCCTGCCCTTTGTGTCCTTGCAGAAGAAGATCATGATCATCATTTGCTGTGTGATTCTGGGCATCGTCATCGCCTCCACCATCGGGGGCATCTTTGGATAGAAACCAGCCCCACCCACCTCTCCACTCTGGATGGGTCTCCCTGAGGAGGCCACTGGCTGCTGCGCCTAGCTGGGTTGCCCTCCCTACCCCTGCCTTCTGGCTGGGAGCCCTTTCCCTCCCATCCCACACTGCTCCCTCTCTGCCATGAGGCTCCCATTCCCACCACCCTGCCCCAAGCCGTGTCGTGTGCATGACCTTGTGACAGTGTGTGTCTGTACAGGAGGCAGAGGGGAGCAGCAGCAGGATGAGCCTCAGTGTGGGGACAGGTCAGTGTGGGCAAGACCCGGGCCCTGGCCAGATCGCCTTTCTTTAGGCCTGAGGTCCATCCTCCCCTGGGACTCAGGCTCCTTTCTGGACCCCAACCTTGCCCTCAGGACCTGCCCTGCCCTCTGGCTACTCCAGCTCTCCCCACCATGCCAAGGCACCTGGAGGGTGGGGACCAGCTGGTCACATGGTGCTGCTTTTCAGGTTAGGGGAGAGGTGTCCCAGGGGATAGCCCAACACTGAAGTCTTTGTTAGCTTACCACTGCCAGGAAGCTCAGGGTGCCACGGCTGCTGGTGTGTTAGGAGCACCCAGGATCCCCACTTTGAGCAAAGCCTGACAAATGTCTCTGGCCTCAGATGCCCTCACCACTGTCCTGGGAGTCATGTCCCTGGGCTGGGCCTGAGCCTAGTGAACTTCTGCGAGCTTGATGGTGCCCTCTCCAGCCTTGCTTGGAGCTGAGAGGCAGAGAGACCTCAGGACTCTGCCCGCTGTCTCTAACAGGCATGTTGGGTCTCGGCCAGAGTTGCATGTTGGGGACAGCGGTCCCCTGGTCTGTTAATGCTTTGAAAAGCCAGGTGTCACCTTAGGCCTGCAGTGTCACCCTGCCCTGTCTCCCACTGATGTGCCACACGGTGTCAGGTGTACTGGATGCAGTATTCAGCAGCCAGTTGGGGAAAGGGCTCCCCACTTCTCTTCCCTGCCGTCTTGGGGCGTCTCGGAGTCAAACTTGTATCCCCTGCCCCAGGAACCCTGTTTTGTTCACAGGCAGGGAGTGTGCATGCAGTGGGAGTTGGGGCCGTGTCTGTGTGCCCCCCCTTCCCTCAGCTTTGCTCCTACCCAGTGGCTGACCACTGTCCGTGCGGCCTTCTCTCGCGGCCACCTCCCTCCACCCCTTCACCAAAGGTCTTGGTACAACCAGCTGCCCATTTTGTGAGATTTTTATGTAGAATAAACATTTGTATCTGTAGTGAGCCTCTGCTTGGAACTTTCTTCTTCCATTTGTAGGGGATAATGGGATCAACCATGTAGGTACTGAAGGCCTTCAGCTGCCTCTGCCTGATCAGTGGGTAACATCTAGGCTTTTCTAGAACGGTTCCAGAATCTTCCCTTACCTAGGGGGAGAGCCGGCGCCTGTGCTGATCAGAGGCATGGCTTCAGATCTTTCACCTATATGAATGTTTAGCCTGGGGCTTGCAGAGGTCAGAAGAGTGGATTGCATCCCCTGCAACTGGATTTACAGATGGGTGTTAGCTGCCATGTGGGTGCTGGGAACCAATTCCAGTTTCTCTGCACAAGCAACAAATGCTCTTAACTGCTGAACCATCTCAACTCTCAGATCTTTTTAAGTTTTGTTTGAGACAGGGTCTCACTAGGTAGCCCTTACTGTTCTGGAACTTACTAGGTAGACCAGACTTCAAATCCAGAGAAATCCACCTCTTTGCTCTGCTTCCCGGTGCTGGGATTAAAAAGTAGGTCCACCATGCTTGGCTGTTTATTTATGTGTGTCTGTCATGTGAGTGCAGGTACCTGTGGAGGCCAGAAGAGGGCGTTGAATCCCCTGGCACTGGAGTTTTAGGTGGTTATGTGGGTGGTAGAAACTAAACTCAGGTCCTCTGGAAGAGAAGTACATGCTCTTAACCACCGAGCCATCTCCCCAGCCCCTTTTTTAAAAGTATGCACATGTGCTCGGGTGTGTGTACATGTGCCTGAGCATGTGTGCATGTGTTAGGAGATCAAAGGACAACTTTGGGCTTTGGCCCTCACCTTCTGCCTTGTACAAAGCAGGTTCTTTTGTCTTTTGTCCACTGTGTATAGCTGACCCATGAGTTGCAGGGAATTCTAGCTAGCAGCATTACTGCATCCAGCTTCCCCTCGGTTTTGGGAATCTGAATTCCTCACTTGCATGGCAGGAACTGGTTCCTGGGAGATGGCACTTACACTGCTCACCTTCCCTGATGAGTGCCTTCCTGCTATGCCATGTCCAGATCTCCCTCCTGAGGCTCACAGAACATACCCATCAAATATCCTCAGCCTGATGGACACCACACACCCCGGAGTAGGACCTACAATTGTCCAGATGGTTCTAAGATATTTAACACCTCCCACCTGAGGCAAGGAACTTAAGAGTGGCAGAGACCTGAAGCAACCGATACCTCAAATACCCAAACCCCATTCCCAACCTTCTATGACATCATGCCATGAGATGAGTCTTGATTCAAGGGACCCACCTGTGCCTCTCACAAGTGCAAGAATGCTTTTGGCCATTCCAGATCCAGTTCCTGCCTGGAGCCATGCAGTGGTCCCCAACATAGGAAGCTGAGATACAGGTTAATACAGAGCCAGGGAGACCAGTTACTTAGAAAGTAACTTAATGTATTTAGGATAAAATAAAATATCCTTAGAAAATTTTTCTTTTTGTTTTTTTAAGACAGGTTTTTACTGTGTAGCCCAGAATGACCTGGATGGAACTTTCCATCTTGCTGCCTCAGCCTCTCAGGAGGGTGTTGGGATTACAGGGTCTGGGCTGCCAAACCCAAATCACTAAACTCTTTTAGTGAAAAAATATTCTGTGAAATTCACAACTTTTCTAAAACACTATGTTGCTAGCGGCTGAGGTAAACAGTTCAATCTAGAAAATTCCTCAGAGGCAGTCATGGATTGGACAGCTCCCAACCTCTGAACAGAGTGGGTGGCCAGGGCAGTCTGCAGGACTGGGTGCAGGCGTGGGTGGCCAGGGTGTCTGCAGGACTGGGTGCAGGCGTGGGTGGCCACTCTCTCCACTTGATTAGATCCAGCACCCTCAGAAGCGGGGCTTTCGCTTGCGGCCGGTGTACTGGGTATCAGGTCTGACCTCCCTGCAGACAGAAACAACAGACTCAGGCAAATGAAGAGCTCTGAGACCACAAATGCAGGTGACTTCTTGGCAGCCGCAGCCTCACCCTCCCTGCCTGCCCGTCCTCAGCCGATACTCACTTGCCCTGGCGCCTGCGCCTCTCCTTCTTCTCTAGGACCCACTCCCTGCTTTTCTTCACCAGGTCCCGCCGTGCCTTCTTGTGTGGAGCCCTAGCCAGAGACAGAAGTGACACGGGGTGGCTAAGCTGCGCCCCGGGGGGCAGCTCTGAGACCCCCTTCTTCCCAACGTTCCCTCTTCCCGTCTATAATCTCCACTTCGGGCACTTCTACAACAGGACCAGAACCCTGGTTTAGTAGAGCTGTGGGGCACCGTCCCTGTCCCTGCAAGGTATCACTGGGTTTATGGCCTTGTGTCTGGCACACACCTTGTCCCACAGGGCGACTCCAGGAAGGAGTAACTCAACAGCCTGGTGGTGTTCAAGGAAAGCCATGGAACCTACAGTCCACTCTTGCCACTTAAGGTCTTTGTCAGGACTGGGGTTCAGTGTGCCTAGCGGGAGCCAGTGTCACCACACACACACACACACACACACACACACACACACGCACGCACGCACGCACACACAACCCCTGCCCCTCTCCAGCTTCTGTCAATGTCCGAGGCCGGAAAACAAGGCTGCCTGCTCATGGCAGTCCTGACGAAGATTCTCCTCACAGATTGATCTTGGCCTCCAGCCCTGGCTGAGGAGGAACGTGATTCCCCACAGCCCAATGGACAAGAGGCCCAAGGAAGAGAGGGAGCCTGCTCATCACCCACAGCCACATTCCCATTGGCTGCTGGGATGAAGTAATCCAGCCTAGCTTGAGGGAGAGCTGCTGGCTGCTTCAGCATAGCCTGTGGCCTGTGGGTACAGGCAGGAGCCATGACCCAGCCTTGTCAAACCCTCCCCTAGCAGAGCCAGAGCAGGGATCCAGGCACTACTCAGCATTTACAGCAGGGGCTGGGCTGTGTGCAGCAACCCAGGCCACCAGGAAAGAAGGGCAGGTCACATGAGGCCAGAAGGGGGTCATGGAAGGAAAGGAAGAACACCCACGTTGGCCTGGAAGTCAATGAGGCCTCTGTGGACAAGGGAACAGCAGGAATCAGTGTGTTTACAGCAGCATGGTGACATGCACACTGCGGGTGTATAAGAATGCTTGTGACAGGAACCTGGATAGCCCCTAGTACCCAGGAAGAAGATGGAAGGGAGGAGCTGAGTGGAGTGAGGAAGAAAGGGAAGAGGGCTGGGGTCGCCTAGAAGAGCAGGAGCAGGGCAGGTTCCATTCACACAGACATTAGTGTGAAGCTAAGGGACCCTAAGATGCATGGAGGGGATTGGACACTTTGTACTGCTCTGTAAAGCCACACAGAGATATCTAGAAGAGTCCCAAAGCTCAAAGGGAATGAGTGGGGGAGCTAAGCAGTGGCCAAGGGTCAGAGGCCAAGTGCTGTCAGAGGTTACAGCAAAAGCAGGAGACCCAAAGATCCTTCAGAACACAGGGAACACTGTGGGCGCAGAGTATAAATGGGAACGTATTGTGGAGCAGAATATTTGTTTAACTAAATAAAGATGTGTTGAAGTTGTTTATTGTGCCGCTTCATTTGTTTAACTATGTGAAGATGTGTTGCTGTTTTACCTTGCCTGCCTTAGGCACCCGATTGGTCTAATAAAAAGCTGAGACCAGCCAATAGCTAGGCAGAAGAGGGGAAGGTGGGGAAGGCAGGCCAGGGCAAAGCAGGATGGACAGTACTAAACAAACCTCGAGGCAGCACATAGATGAACAGAAATGGGCTAATTTAAGTTAAAGAAGCTATCTAGAAACAAGCCTAAGTTAAGACTGACCACTGGTAATTAGTAATAAGCCTGTGTCATGATTTGGGGCCTGGTCCAAGAAAGTCTGCCACAGGAACAAGATGCAAGGCGCTAAAGAAAGGCAAGAGAAAGTCATCGGAGGGAGAAAGGGCAAGTGAACACAGGAGTGATGGAGCTGGGGCAGCAGGGCAGGTGAGCTGAGTCAGGAGCTTGCGGCATAAGCCTGGCCCTCACCCTTGGCCACGGCTTAGCTCCCCTGCTCATTCCCATTGAGCTTTGGGACTCTCCTAGATGTCTCTACTTGGCTTTGCTGAGGAAGTACCAGGCATCCAACCCCCTCCAAGCATCTTAGGGCCTCTCCCCCTCACACTGGTGTCTGTTGGTAACATGTGCTCTCTGATAGCTGTGTTGAATGGCCTGAGCATCTGTTCCCAAACTGAGAGCTACGTGTGTGGATAGGAATGCCTCTAGAGGGGAGAGAAGAGGATGCAGGGGCCAGGGAAGGCTGGGACCCAGGCTGTAGTTGAAAGTGGCTGAGGGTAGGGAGTGTGCAGGGGGAAGACACAGGAGCACCCTGCCAAGTGTTGGAGACGGGACATCTGCAGGCTCACACAGGAAGCTAAGGGGCTGTGGCTGTACCAGTACCCAGCCTGAGGAGGAGGCAGACACAGCCCAAGAGGCACACCTGGTTGGTTGCAACATCCCTTTGGGGAAGCAGCTATGTCTAACCTGAGGCTCAGGTGAAAGCAGAGAGAAATCCCCCAAGCCCTTGCCTGGTCCCCGCACCTATGCGCCTTACCTCTCACTGGTGAAAGTGAACTCGGTAGCCTGGTCTGCATCCTGACTTTCAGTCAGCCCCTGTAGGAGACAAAGCTCCTGAGTCACCGTGGCGTTTACTGCCCCAACAGACATATGAGCATCCAGAACCCCAGTGGGCCTCAAAGTCAGGCTAGGCTACAGGGGTCGGCAATCCTTCCCACGACCTGCAGAAGTCTCAAATAGCTGGGCTCTGTGCAAGGGGTTGAGGAACCCTGACCACTGAGGCCCTCCCAGCATGCTCTTGTGCTGGGAATACAAGGCACAGCCTGGGAGTCCAGGACCCTTACCTTTGGCAGGGAGGTGGAAGGCCCAGAAAACAGACAGAGGTAGAACCTGAAACAAGGCAGGGCAATATGAAGCCCAGCTCACAAGAAACGAGTCTTTGTCCTGCATCTTTTGTGGCCATGCCCACCTACCCAGCATTCCTGGCTACTCAGTAGTCTGTGTAGACAGCTCTTGGGCCCAGCACCCACTATGTGTGTGAATACACATGAAGTCGCGGTCAACCTCAGCTGTCATTTCCCAAGACACTGGGAATTTTTGGACATCTCATTTTTGGGCAGGGTCTCTCACTACCCTAGAGCTCACCACGTAGGCTAAACTGGCTGGCCAGCGATTCTGCAGGGATCTGCCCATCCCCATCTCCCCAGCGCCGTATGGGGATTACACACAAGCATCACCATGCCTGGCCATTTACACTGGTGCTGTAAGTGGGAGCTCAGGTCCTCACGCTTGCACAGCAGGCACTTCACCCACTGAGCCATCGCCCCCACCCCTGGCACTTACTTCTTTGCTTTGGCACTGTTGGGGAAGTCCACCACCACGCCACCAGTGAAGCCTGCCCTCGTGGCCTGGGTTGTGATCAGCTCCAGCTGAAGGGAGTAGGCGGAGGGGTGGGAGGGGCAGAAGCTCTAGAGGTCCTCATTGCTCAGAAACTAAAGCATATTCTAAGCTACACCTTTCCCACTCAGAGGCCCTAAAAGCCACCATGACGGAGAGTGAGCTGTAACCAGTCTCAGCAGCCCCATCCTGAGGACGGAAGTGTCAGAACAAAGCTGTTCCCACATTCTGGTCCCGGAACCCATCTCCCCGCCCTCAGGAAACTAGACCAGACTCAGCGGTGTTACACATCAGGGTCCTGCAGGTTACTATCATTCTACGCCCTAACTCATACCACCTAAGGCCAAAGTGCCGAGGTCCTCTTGCCTGCCCCTACTCTGCCATGGGGTTACCGATGGGTAACGTCACAGCACATTCTGTGACGCTACCTTATCTGTTTTCATTTTTCTCTCCGTGCTGGCTCTCAGGATGAAGGCCAGGTCCTCATGCACACTAGATGAGCACGCGGCCGCTGAGCCACACCCCCTGCCTCCCACTATCTCACCTGTCAGCAGAAGGCAACACCCCAGCCTCCCCTACAGACTTACTCCCTCTCGGGGAGCCACCTGGGATCACCGTGCCATCACTAGGGTACTCGTTCCCTCTTTCCCACAGGCCGCAAGAGTCCCTTGTTCTGTCACGGTGCCCAGTGGCAAGAAGGCCGCTGAGTGGAGGATGCTGTTCTACACGCTCCTTCCCTGCAGATCTAGCTAGCTGCTCACCTGCTCTGAGTTCTCCGGGTATAGCTGCAGGACAGCTCGGGCCCCATGGACCTGTAAGTAACAAAAAAATGTCATGACCACATAAGCACTCCTGGGATCATGACCACAGCATGCCCTCACTTACTAGATATTTGCAGAGCTCCCATCACAGACAAGGTGCAAAACACCACCATGAACAAGGCTCCTGAACTGGAGCACTCGCTGGTAAATCGGGCATCTAACTTAGAGCTGTGGTAAGTGGCAAAGAAAAAAAAAATAAAAATGGTGCATGCCTGTAACCTCTGCCTTTGGGAGGCAAAGGCAGGAGGATCGTGATATGCTCAAGCCCAGACTAGTCTACACAGTAAGTCCTTGTCTCAATGGAAAAAGGACAAGAAACAAGACGTGCACTACAAAGCCAGTCATGACATTTCTGATTAAAAAGGAGGATGACAGTGGAGGGAAGTGCAGAGAACGTGGACATTCTGGCAGGCGACCTCTGTTAGCTGGCTATGACATCACGATCCTGACTCCACTACCTCAGATATTGACTACAATGCTTCTGGGTTTGGTTAGTTGTCAGCCTTTTGCACCTGGACATTTTTTTCTTTTGCACTGTTGAGACATCTCTGGTTGACTGTGAATTTCCTACGTAGCCAAGGCTGGCCTTGAACTCCCAACTATCCAGTCTCTGCCTCCAAGTGTTAGGATTCCAGGTCTATACCACCATGCCCAACAGGGCTGTGTGTCCTTTCTAAGCAGCCTTCTTATCATGGGACCCCTCAACTTCATCCTTGAACTTACAAGGCAGGAGACTGACAGACGGACAGAGAGAAACAAGAGGAGAGCTTATACTCACCAGGGCAGAGTATAGAGAGGAAAAGAAGCAGTAGAGGCGCCTGGCAGGGACATCTGACTTCTTGTTTGCATTGCAGAGCCACTGAACAGCTGAGATGCTGAAAAGGAAGGGACCCAGTCAGGAGGGACCGATGCCCTCCCCAGTGACCTCCTGAGGACTCTGCCATTACCCACCATAATCTGCTGCATATAGCTCCTGTCCTGAAGAGGCCGGTCCACTCCTGGTCACTTCCTTACAACACAGAACCAGTTCCGGCAGCACTCACTTCCTTCAGTCATTCTAGGAAAATGCTCTCTCAACCAACGTCTATGCGTACCTCCAGGAACCAAGGCCATCACTGCCAACCCTCCATTCACTCTCTCCCGACAATCAAAGGACACTCACTGGACAGTACTTACACTCACTCTCTCCTGACAATCAAAGGACACTCACTGGACAGTACTTACACTCACTCTCTCCCGACAATCAAAGGACACTCACTGGACAGCACTTACACCCACTCTCTCCCGACAATCAAAGGACACTCACTGGACAGTACTTACATTCACTCTCTCCCGGCAATCAAAGGACACTCACTGGACAGTACTTACATTCACTCTCTCCCGGCAATCAAAGGACACTCACTGGACAGCACTTACACCCACTCTCTCCTGACAATCAAAGGACACTCACTGGACAGTACTTACATTCACTCTCTCCCGGCAATCAAAGGACACTCACTGGACAGCACTTACACCCACTCTCTCCTGACAATCAAAGGACACTCACTGGACAGTACTTACATTCACTCTCTCCCGGCAATCAAAGGACACTCACTGGACAGCACTTACACCCACTCTCTCCTGACAATCAAAGGACACTCACTGGACAGTACTTACACTCACTCTCTCCCGACAATCAAAGGACACTCACTGGACAGTACTTACATTCACTCTCTCCCGACAATCAAAGGACACTCACTGGACAGTACTTACACCCACTCTCTCCTGACAATCAAAGGACACTCACTGGACAGTACTTACACTCACTCTCTCCTGACAATCAAAGGACACTCACTGGACAGTACTTACACCCACTCTCTCCTGACAATCAAAGGACACTCACTGGACAGCACTTACACCCAGCCACTCACCTGCTCTTTTGCATGCTTCTGCTGCATCTATCAAGGCTCTTAACACCCCCACCCCAGATCTCAAACCTTCTGCAGTTGTGTCCCTCACCTCTGGCCCACACCTCCTCACTGCTTTGCATACCCAGCCACCGAATGCCACATTACAGGCCTGGCATAGGTAAGGCCTTCAGTTTGATCACAAAACAAAAACACTTGAGCTGGGTAGCAGAGGCAGGTGGATCTCTATGATCTACAGAGGGAGTTCCAGGCTAAACAGGGCTATCTGGTGAGACACTGTCTTGAAAACTGAAACAGAACAAATCATACACACACGTACAAAACCCTCAAATACTCCATATTTCTTTGATATTATCATTTTAACCTTGAGCCAGGATCTCATGTGGTGGAGGATGAGTGAACTCCTGATCCTCCTGCCTCCACCTGCCAAGAGCTGCAGTTACAACCATGTGTAGCAACATTGTATATTTCTAACAGTAATTTCAATGCTTCAAAGCTGGTTATTAAAGTCCAGGGGCTAGAAAGATGGATCAGTGACTAAGAGCACTTGCTGCTCTTGCAGAATACATAACTTTAGTTCCCAGCACTCGCACAGCAACTCACAACCATCTCCAGTTCCAGTGGACTGGATGCTGTCCTCTAGCCACCACAGGAGACCAGATCCAACACATACATAAAATAATTATGTAGTCCTGGACACCCTGGAACTCACTTTGTACACCAAGCTTGAACCTTGAACTCAAGAGATCTACCTGCCTCTGCCTCCCAAGTGCTGGGATCTAAGGGGTGTGCCACCACTGCCTGGGGAAATCATTATAGGTTCAGTATGTCTATAATCCCAGAAATGGGGGAATGGGGATCAGGGCCAGGCAGATGCCTGGAAAATCACTGGACAGTTAGTTAGCCTGGCCTGGCCTGTGTGACAATGTTCCAGCCCAATGAAAGCTTGTCTGAAACAAAAGGTAGATAATGTCTGGAGACTGACACATAAGGGTGCTGCTCTCTGGTCTCCACTTGTCTGTGTCCACACACACACCAGGCAGTGGTGATGCACGCCTTTAGTCCCAGCACTCCTGAGGCAGAGGTAGGCAGATCTCTGTGAGTTCGAAGCCAGCCTGGGCTACAGAGCAAGTGCCAGGACTGGCTCCAAAGCTATGCAGAGAAACCATGTCACAAAAAAACAAAAAGACTTGTACACAAACAGCCTTTTTAGCAGCCTTTGTCCTTATAAATCTCAAAATCTTAGAACATGTACATTTGTCTAATTACATTTATTAACTCCGCATGCACCCTGCCTCATGTATAGAAGACAGACAATAATTTTCAAGAACCTTCTTTTTCTCTACCATGTGTATTCTATGTCAAATTCAGGCTTGGTAACAAGCACCTGTGATCACCGTAGCCAGCTCATAGGCCCAGAACATGTACATTTTTAAATATCACATATGACTGCTATAAGCTGGGTTTAGGAAACACTGGTCTATGAAATTACAAGTAGGAAGTGAAGGCCCTTACCTAATGCAGCCATCAAAAGAACCTGGTCTGAAAGGGATTCCCTGGCCCATGTCCCCTAGCAGCAGGTCTCCCTCTGTGTCTCGGTCCAAGGCAGCATCTATATCAAAGTAAAGGGACATATGGGTACAGGTGTGGTAGGCGGGTCTGTGACCTCAGCAGCAGGGAGGCTGAGGCAGGACTATCCCAAGTCGGGGCCTGGCTATACAGCAAGACCTGATCTCAACCAAAAATTCCAATTTAGCTGCTCCATACTCAAGAGGATAGCCACCTTGGTACAGGATAGGGTACACTTACCCAACATGGCAGGGCTGATGTCAATGCCCACCCAATAGTGCCCCTCTTCTGAGATATAGTCTCCGCTCAGTCCTGAACCACAGCTGGAAGAAACAATCCATAGGGGCTCACAGAGATAAATGATAATGACCCTCCACCCCACCCAGACAATCAGACTTGGCCCCAGGACCTTACCCAATGTCTAACAGAAAAGAGGGCTGACCCTCTGGCAAACAGAGGAGCTCCAATGCTCGCTCAGTCATCTTGGTCTGGATGTCAATCATCCGTGAACTGGGAAGTAGAAAAACATAGGAGCGGTTATAGAATTCTAAGTCATGTTTTTCATAGATCAAAAGAGTTAGGAGAATTTTTAAAAAGGAACAATCAACTAGAGGTACTTTTCCCTAACTTCAAAAAATTTTTATTTGCTGGGTGGTGGTGGCACACACCTTTAATCCCAGTACTGGGGAGACAGAGGAAGGCATATCTTTGTGAATTCAAGGCCAGCCTGGTCTACAAAGTAAGTTCCACAATACCCAGGGCTACATAGAGAAACACTGTCTGGAAAAAAAAATTTATTTATTTCATTTTGTGTGTGTGTGTGTTTGTGTGTGTGTATGTGTGTAGGTCAGAGGCCAACTTCCTCAATTTGGTTCTCTTCTTCTGTGGGTTCTGGGGATCAAATTCAGTCTTGAAGCTTGGTGATCTCCCCCCACACACACACATACACACACAGAGCTATCTCGACAGCTCCTGCCCAATATTTTAAACTTACTTTAACCTGAAACCAACAAACTCAAAAGCAGTTATTATTAATAGTAGTTCCATGATGGGCATGGATGTTCCCACAAAATTCCAGCACTCAAAAAAAGCTGAGACAAGACTAAGAGTTTAAGGCCAATCTGGGCAAGATCCTGCCTCAAAACATCAACAAAGTAATCCCCAAAGTCCAGTTGACACAGTAGCATGTCATTCCATTATGTACACATTTCAATACACCATCTGCAAAGCTGACAGAAACAGCCAAGTCACTTAGCAAATGACCAGTCAGTGACTATCTATAACTCTGCTGTATTTCGATGCTTTAATCCTTAGGAATGTGTTCTCTCAAAGAGTCATCTGACGTATTTACTCTCAACTGTAAGGATCAACAATGCACAACAAGTGTTAGGAATGTGCCTCAGTGGTGGAGTACTTGCTAGCACCTCCAAAAACAAAACCACCTCTGTGGTAAAAAAAAAAAAAAAAAAAAAAAAAAAAAAAGTGGGTACCAGGCCACACATCTCATCCCCAGGATCTGAAAACAAGAACCTCACAGCACTGATGACCATGAGGGATATAATGCAGGCAAAAGATGTGGTGGTGTCCACCTCCACAGAAGCAGAATCTGAGCGCAAGAGGCAGGCGTATCTCTGTGAGTTAAGGCCAGACAGGGCTAAAAAGTAAAAACTGTCTCAAAAGGAAGGTGGGGGTGGGAAAGACAGTAAATTATAGGGCAAGCCTATAATCTCAGCACACAGAAGGCTGAAGCAGAAGGGTCACTACAAATAAGGTCAGCCTGGGCTACATAACGTGAACATATCTCAGAAAAAAAAAAAAGGTGGGGGGCAAATAAACTGTAATCAGTTTACTTAACACCCATATATAAATAATTATTTTAGGTCAATATACTCAAAGTGTTATTTCATATTATAATCAGCAAAAAATTGTGTCATTTCTCCACATTACGTTATTAAGATTTACAGAATTTTAATAGCTAGTTACTGGCTACCATATTGAACAGAATAGGTCTGTTCAAAATCAAGGCAAATAATCACACAATAATTTCCACAGAGCTCCTACGTGCAATTTTAGCACTTGGAAGGTAGAGAGACAGGAGGGTCAGGAATCCAGTCACCTCTGATACACAGCAAGTTCATGTAGGGGATTCACACAATGTTTCTGTCAATGGTTGCCATGACAATTTAGTGCAATCGTGCATTTAAATAAGGATCACAATAAACCCATAATGAGTATGCCCTCCCTCCTAATAATACTGGTTCCTTTCTGGGGGTGTAGCTCAATGGTAAAACTACTGCCTAGAATCTTCAAGTGAGGGGCTGGGGGTGTGGCTCAGTGACAGCGCATGTCAACAATAAGACAGTATCCTACTCTAACTACTGCCTATTTTACCATCTATTTTAAACACATTGTCAAACGACCTAGTGTGAACTGGAGATGAATACGCCCATACTGGAACCAAGGTACCAAGATTCGTCCAGGAGTTAGACGGTTTAAAGTTCACTTTACCGATGGCAGAAATGCATCCCCCACCCCCCGATTCTACATGCTTTCCAAGCGACGCCCATAATCGGGGCAACTCGCCGATCCCGACCCCCGATGCCATTCAACAGCCATGCTTTCCTCACTTGCGAACGTATTTCCGGGCTTCATTCTGGTCATAAAACTGTTGGGAAGAGAAAGATACATGGGATATGAGGGGAAGAATCCAAAAACAGGCATTCTAGAAGAAGACCAAGACCTGACAAGGCTCTTACCAGCTCTGGCGGTCCGCTGTGCTCCGGTCTCCGGCTACGAAACGCCATCTCTAGGGTACCGCAGCACGCTGGTGCCGGCAAAGCCCCAGCGCGATGTTTTGACGTCACCAATGCTGCGACCTCCTCGTAGGACCCACGCTCTAAACTTTCCCCGCCTTTCTTTTTATTTGATTGGCTACGAGGCAGAGGCGCTCACGAGTCGCCGTTTCCATTGGCCGGCTCGGCTCCGCCCCAGTCCCCGCCACAACATGGCGGCCGCGCGCTGCCTGAGCTGTCCGCTGTCACCACTGTGGAGACTGTGGCAGGTCCGCGGGTTGCCACAAAATTCAGCCCCGGGCTTGTGCTTGCGAGGGAGGGCTTACTCTCGCAGCGCCCTCTATGAGCTGCTGGGCGTCCCTTCCACGGCCACGCAGGCACAGATCAAAGCGGCGTACTACCGGCAGAGCTTCCTCTACCATCCGGATCGCAATCCCGGGAGCACCGAGGCCGCCGAGCGCTTCACGCGCATCTCCGAAGCTTATCTGGTCCTGGGCAGCACCGTCCTCCGTCGCAAGTATGACAGAGGTCTGCTCACCGACCAGGACCTACGCGGACCCGGTGTCAAGCCCTCTAGGACACCCCCGGCCGACCTCACGCCTCCCCGCCCTCCCCCCTATAGCCCTCGGGCCTCTCCCGGCGACCGTCGCACTATGTTCGACTTTGACGCCTTCTACCAGGCGCACTATGGAGAACAGCTAGAGAGAGAGCGGCGTCTGCGCGCCCGGAGGGAAGCCCTTCGCAAAAAGCAGGAGAGCCAGGCCAACAAGGGGCTCCGATGGGACGATACCCGAGATGCCACCTTCTTTGTCCTCCTTTTCCTCACCTTCGTCTTCGTCGGTTTTCGTATTTAATCGGAGAAAAGGGGGGAAGGGGAACGAGCCCAAGAAATTTGCTTTTTTTGACCTTTGAACTATTACGGGTCATGGATTGAACTGAGTGCCTCTAGTGGCGTCCTCTTGACTGTCCTAACAACTTCCCAGCCTGGCCGGTCATCACATATCCTTCTATAGTTCAGAAAAGAAGCTCTTTCCTGGACAAGAAAGAGGCCCCGGGATAAAGATACCCGGAAACCAGAAATTTATGTGCTTTCCAGAGTTCCCTGGGTGTCTGCTTGTTTCTAGAAGTTGCCTTCCAGATGTCAACTCCCAGAACAATTGCTTTGGTTTTATCCAGAAGCCCTGAGCAAGTTTTGTCTTGCCCTCTGCCTCGTGTTTATACCATGGGGCAGCACTTCCTCTGTAACCTTTGAACTGTGCAATATCTGTGACTGCTGCCAAAAAGATTAATTCTTGGGGCTTGCATGAAACTTGTCTTTCTGTTTTACCCCAAGCAAAAGATGAGACTTAATCAACGGTCCAGTAGACGCTGGGGATGAGCCGGCTCAGTGAGAGGTTGCTAGCATACAGGAGGCACTGGTTTAGTCCCTATCATTGCTGTTGCGTAGTGTGCCCCCCTTCCCAGCTGAGAAAAAAGTTAATGAAAGGTTGTCATTTTCTCAGGTCTGTTTCACACCACCACTGTCGTGTGGCAGAGAGAAAACACGGCCCTTCAGCATGAGGAATATGTTCCTGTGTCCATGTTTATCTCTGGTGTGACCTTGGAGGACGGTGCCCTGGGGGTGTAACAGCCGAAGAGGAATTAATTTGCTCTCTTCTCTCTGAGCTCGGTCACTATTACCCATATTCTGCTCCACAGTAGTGATGTAGGGTGATGCTATTTGGGACATTGTGCCTGTCCTTGGTCGGCCTTTCCTTAGCCACTCACATTGCTAACTGTGCAGCCTGCTCACTGTTGACTTGGAGCTTGAGACCCTGAGTGTGGCCCATGCATCTGCAGTGTTATTAGAGGTGCCACAAGGCATATCTTTCTAATGAGGTTGTTGGATTGTGTATAGTTGTGGACCCTGGAGTAGCCAGGAGTAGAAGCAGCAGGAAGCTCACTGGTGAAGATGGCAATGAAGTCCAGAGTGTGGTATATAGGCTTGTAATCTGCTGGCTTAAGATGGAGGCTGTGACCAATTACATAGCAGGGCTCATCTTTTTAAAAAGATTAAAAACAACAACAAAGAAGACAGGCATGGTGGCTTACACCTTTAATCAGAGCTACATAGTGAGACCCTGTCTCCTGTCTGGGGGTGGGGAGATTTTAAAAAAAGTTTAAAATTAGGTTCCTTATATGCTGCTGACCAAGGATTGTAATGAGTTTTGGGGGAGTTTGCCATTTGGATTCTGGGAAAGCTGTTTGTTTTGTTTTTTTGAGGTGGTAGTAACCCAGGCTGGTCATGAACTCTCTTTGTGCTGACCTTGAACTCCTGACCTTCCTGCCTCCATCTTTTTTGTTGTTTTTGTTTTGTTTGTTTGTTTGTTTTTGATACAGGGTCCTGTGAAACCCTGGCTGTTCTGTAGACCAGGCTGGCTTTGAACTCATATACATCTGCCTGCTTCTACTTCCCAAGAGGTGAAATTAAAGATGTGTGCCACCACACCCAGCTTCCTGCCTCCACCTGCTGAGTGTTGGACAGGTGTGTACTACCATGACCCAGGTTTCTGGTTTTTTGGTTTTCTTACACCAGGCAGCTAGTAATAACTTGTGGTCAGAGCTGCAGTAGTCATGATGTCCCTTACTTCTGACTCACAGTGGGAATGGGCTAGGACATGGGAAGGAGGGGTAAGAGTGGCATGGGCCTATGGATGACTCAATGGGTGGAGGAGTTTGTCTTGTTCTATCCCAGGACCTACATGACTGAAGGAAAGACATGGCTCCTAAAGTTCTCTTCTAAGTTCCACATTGTGGCTAGTGTTATGTGCATCTGTGTGCATGTGCACCCGAATACCTCACACACAGACAAAATAAATGCATGTGATTCTAGCACACCAACTCCTCCCCTCAGTCCTGAGGGTAAAACTGGTGTATAAAGTGGGATAAACCCACAGCTAGCCCAAATATTGGAAACCATCTATTTTTCTGTCCCTAGGGGATTAGGGGTGAGCTCTTAGCCAAAGCTTTGTCCAGATCATAGGCTGGTTGGCAATTGCTTGACTTGGTGAACTTTGGTTGGTTCATTGTTCACTTAGCAGGATATAGTGGCTCACACCTTTAATCCACACATTTGGAAGGCAGAGGCAGATGGATCTCTGTGAAGTCAAGGCTTGATTGGTATGTGTGTGTGTGTGTGTGTGTGTGTGTGTGTGTGTGTGTGTGTGTATTATGAGAACCTATCTAAAGAAGAAGAGGAGGAGGCGTTTACTTAATGCCAAAATGTTTCCTACTTGAAAAATGAGGGATTCTGGGGGAAATATATAAAAACTGGTGATTTCCAAAGCCATAAATATAATATTTTCTGGGATAGAACTATCCCCAGCAGCAAGGCTTAATGGGTAAAGACATTCTCACCAAGCCTGACAAATTGAGTTCAGTCCCCACATGGTAGACAGATCTGTGTCCAGCAAATGAATGCACCTTCAGGATCAAGCATGCATGCACGTGCCCAGCCACCCACACAGATAGACATAATTAAACAGCTGATTTGCTGCAGGAGACATGGCTCAGCAGGTGAGTTTCCTGCTCTTCCAGAGAACCTGATTCAATTCTCTGAACCCACTGGGCTCTGCTCCCAGGGATCAGATGCCCTCTTCTGGCATCCAAAGGCACACACAAGCAGGTGTACAGACACACCAAGACACATAAATAATGAATCTTCAACAAACAACAAAAGCAACTTTCTGTCTGGCCATCTACATAGTAAGCAGTCCAGAGACCTTGGTTTTTGTTGTTGTTGCTGTTTTATTTTGTCTTGTTCTGCAAAACCAAACCTGGGAAGGAAAGGAGGCTCAGTGGTTAAGAGCACCTGCTATGCGAACCTGAGGAGTGGAGTTCAGGTCTCAGCATCTAGGTGATAAGCCACACATTCCTGTAACCACAACTTTTCAGAGTTGGAGGGCAGACACATTAAGAACTGTTGGGGCTTCATAGCTGAGAAAATGTGAACCCCAGGTTCAGGGAGAGACCCTGCATCATAAGAATAGGGAGGTTAATAGAAGAGGACACTGGATTCCCTCTTCTGGCTTCTGCAAGCCTAGGAGCACACACACCCCCAAAAGACACACACAGACACAGACAAATAAATGAACAATAATCTAAAAACAGCCATGGCAGGCAGTGGTGCCACACACCTTTAATTCCAGCAGAGAGGCAGACCACTGTCAGTTTGAGACCAGCCTGATATGTTGATCAAATTCCAAGACAGCCTCCAAAACCACAGAGAAACCCTGTTTCAAAAACAAAAAAAGTCCCCCAAAAGGGTTTGCAAGATGGTTCAGTAGGTAAAGCACTTGATGCCAACTTGATTGACAAATCTTTTGAGTTTGTTCCCTCAGACCCGCACAGTAGAGGACCAATGCCCAAAAGTTGTTCTCTGGCCTCAAAATGCATCTCATGACTTGTGATCTCCCCTATACATTAAATAAATGTTATTTTTAAAATATTTTCCAAAAATTAAAAAAATCATTCCTGGGGTTATGGGTGTGTGGCATGGTACTTACTACAAGCTGCAGAAGTCTGTAATAGATAGATTATTATTATTTTCTTGGAAGTGGGGATGGGATCCAAGGCATCACAAATGCTGGACAATCACTCTACTATTGAGACATACCTGCAGTCCCTGGGTAAACTTTTCTTCTAGGCCTGTCACTGTGTACTCTAGTTTTCTCCCTCTCACAAAGGGTCATCCCAGGGTCACTCCTGGATATATTCATTCCTAGAATCCCAAGGCAGAACACTTAAAGTAACAGTGACTGGAATCTTCAGAACATACATGTGTGCCTGCTAGCCAGGGACATATGAGTCTTTGTTTTTTGAGACTATGAAGCCCTATCTGGCCTGGAATTCACTGTGTAGAACAGTCTGGCCTTGAACTCAGAGAGAGCTGCCTGTCCCTACCTCCCAAGAACTGGGATTATAAGTATGGGCCACCACACCTCACCACACTGGGAGGCAACCTGAAGGACCCTTCCAGTTCCCATGGTAACGCATCCCTTCCTTTGCCCTCTCTTGGCCTGGGTGTTTTGTTTTGAATTTTGAGACAGGGTTTTGTTTAGTCCAGGCTGGTTTTAAACTTTCTTTGTAGTCATGGATGACCTTTAACTTCTGACCCTCCTGCCTCCAGCTCCCAAATACTGGGATTACAGACATACACTACCACACCTGGTTTATAGGATGCTGGGGATGGAGCCTAGGACTTCATGAATTTGAGGCAGGCACTCTACCATAGAAGCCACATCTTCAACCTGATTGGTTCTCTACTTCTTAAGTGCCCTAGGGAAAGAAGGTTGAGGCCAGACCTGGACACTAACCCCTTCTAGAAACTACTCCTCAAAGTCCTGATAATGGTAAGAGAGGTAGCCATGCTTAGCCTTAGCTCTCCCTGACTCCACTTTTTTGAGACAAAGTCTCACTGTGTAACCTTGGCTGGCTGAGAACTCACAGAGATCCCCCCTGTCTCTGCTTCCTAAGAGGTGAGATCAAAGGCATGAGGCACCACACCTGCCTCTTTCTCTCTTTGGTTATACTCTTAAACAAAACTGCCTGGAAAGCTGGTCCAGAGATGGGACATCATGTAGGATGTGAGCACCCAGGCTGCATTCCTCTGCACTCCTCTGGGGGCCACGGATGGAGCTTAAGTGGCTCTAAGGTTTCAATCCACCAGTTGCTCCAGCTGTTGGGTGACATTCCAAAGCTCAAGCAAGTCCTCAAGCTCTTCTCCCACACCAACAGGAATACCTGCCTCAAGGGACAACCACTGAGATCCCATGTAGAGCCCAACATGGTCCCAAATTTCTCCTCCCACTGTCCTTGGCTCTATCCCTGGGGCCACACTTGCAGCAGTCCCTGGAGAGAGCCTGGGCTGAACACCACACACTTGCATTTGCACACTTTTCTTAAGACCCTTAGCCCCAAGCCACTCCCTCATCTTTTATACTCCAAAGATACCAATGTGGGGCTCATTTTATTCTACAAGCTTCAGTGAAAAGTGGAGTCAACTCAACACCCACATTCTAGATAGTTCTATCTCTAGTAACAGGAACAAAGACCACACTAGCTATGTAAACTTCAATAGCACTATACTCTTGTTACTCTGAGACAAAATCTCACTCTGTAAACAGGGTGTGGTGGCACACACTTTTAATCCCAGCATTCTGGAGGCAGAGGCAGGGGTCCCTGTGAGTTAGAGGCCAGCATTTCCTAAAAGGAGAATTCCCCTGTCTCCAAAAAAAAAAAAAAAAAAAAAAAAAAAAAAATCACTTTGTAGGTTGGAGTGTCCTGGAACTCACCACCCCAGGCTAGATTCAAACTCAAGGCGATCCTCCTGAGTCTGCCACCCAAGAGCTGGGATTATGGGAATGAGCCAGCACACCTGACTTCTACGGTGCTTTTGGTGGACCACTCTTGTTGGTAGGCATTTCTATGCCTCTCGGCCAAATTTCCTGTAGACTTGGCCCTGGTTGACCCCGGAAATGCTACTGTTGCATTATTTTCAAAG